ACAGCCTTGGGCAGACAGAAGAATCAGCTTTAGCACAACTGGACTGGTAAGGAGGGGATGGGGTAGAGACTCGAGAAGGCCAGTAGGGCATCCGTGGGTGGCAGCCCCAGAGGGGTATTTAAACAGCCAGTGGGATCCCCCTGAGAAAAGCAGGGTTTAAACCATAAGTGGGGATCTCCAGCCTACTGCATCAGGGACCAAAAAGTACACAGACAACAACCAGGATTGCTCTCTGCCAGAGACAGGTGGTTGCAGAAGCAAAGAGCCTTTTAAAGGGCCAAAATATAAATTTTTATTTGCAACCACTTACCCTCATCTCTGGCAAAGGTGGGGGCAGAGTGGGCTAGAGATGCCTGAGGAGAGACTGGGGAAGGAGGCTTTGGGGAGAGAACTGAGAGAGTAGTGGGTGGGATCCTGGTGATGACTCATCCTCCCTGTGGCAGCAGCCATCTTGTTCAGGCAGACCAGTCCCCTGAGCAGCAGCAGAATCATGAGAGGACCCAATAACCCTGCCCCCATGATGGACTCTGCCCTACCCTGTGGTGTCTAAGCCTGACTACTGAATGCAGAGTGACTAGATTAACAGCTGAAGGAGATAGACATAGACAGTAGGTTCCTGGAAGTCTCAAACAGACTGCCTAAGGTCAGATAGGGTCAATATCTGACATTATCAGAGGCAGATCCAGAAAGAAAAAAACAGCAGTCTCTTACCATAGAAGTTCACACCACAAAGTCAGGAGATCAAGACAGATCAATTTAAGAAGCAGAAGCAAAAGAGAAGAGTCTCTCAAACAATGAGAAGACAGAGAAACACCTCACATTCGAAGGGAAAGGAGGAATTTCCACAAAGAGAACTAAATGAAATAGAGGCAATTAAACTATCAGATACCAAGTTCAAAACAACGGTTCAGTGAGCTCAAAGGGAATTACAAAAAACAACAGGGAAACTACAAGGAACTTACTGCAAACTCTATCAGCATGAAAAAGGACATAGAAACTATCAATAAGGGACAAGGGGAAATGAAGGATACACTTTCCAAATTGAAGAACACAGTAGAAGGAATCAAAAGCATGCTAGATGAAGCAGAGGATTGAATCAGTGAGCTGGAGGATAAGGTAGAAAAAAGCTCCCAGAAAGAGCAAGAAAATGAAAAAAGACTCAAAGAGAATGAAGAGACATGTAGGGAAATGTAAGACAACCTGAAATGTACTCATATCTGTATAATAGGGATACCAGAAGGAGAAGAGGAGCAAGGGATAGAGAACCTATTTGAAAAAGTAATGATGGAAAACTTCCCAAATTGGAGGAGAGAAAAAGTCACACAAGTCCAGGGAGCACAGAGGGTCCCACTCAAGAGGAACCCAATGAGGCCCACTCCAAGACACATCATCATTAAAATGGCAAATATCAAAGACAAACAGAGAATCCTAAAGACAGCAAGGGAGAAACAGGTAGTAACATGCAAGGGAGCCCCGATACAACGTGCAGCGGACTTTTCAACAGAAAACACTACAAGCCAGAAGAGAATGGCAAGAAATATTCCAAGTAATGGAAAGCAAAGGCCTGCAGCCAAGACTGCTCTACCCAGCAAGGCTCTCAATTAAAATAGAATGCAAAATAAGGAGTTTCCCAGACAAACTCCTGGGTTGTCAGTCCCAGATAAAAGAAGGCTAAAAGAATACACCTCCACCAAACCAGCATTGCAAAATATGCTAAAGGGACTGCTTTAAGAAGATAAAAAAAAAAAAGGTGTATAAATACCCAGTTCCTTTCATAGTCACCAATACTTGATATTACCAATATTTTTAATATTTATTAATCTCTGACAATGATGAGTTATTTTAATTGTTACTTTATTATTTGTTGATACTAAACTTGTTTCTGTATATTTCCTGCCTATTTCTATTATTTTAAAAAAGCTTTGAATGACTTTTTGGAATTCTTTATCCATTTTTTGATTAAATATTTGTAGAATTTTCCCCTCCATCCCTCAGAAAAGCTATTAACCCTTTTTTTAAATGTGTTGCAAATACTTTCCTAGTCTATCACTTGTCCTTTAACGTTTTTTATATGCATATTACGGCACAGTCTTAAATTTTTAATACAGTCATATTGTCAATATTTTATAGCTTCTGCTTTGAATATGTTACTTCAGGGTAAGAAAAATATTAGTTTGTATTTTCTCCTAAAACTCCTTGGGTTTTACATGCTGACTTTCAACTCACCTGAATATATTTTGTATAATGTGTGAAATAGGGCTCTATATTTGTTTTATTTCATGTAAGAGAGGTCCATGCACCTTATTTGTTGAATAAGCCTTATTTTCCTCATTGACTTGAAATGCCAATTTAATCATTTATTACATTGTTAGATATATACGTTTGTTTCTGGAATGCTCATTATATTTCACTGATCTACTTGATTATTTCTGTGCTGGTGTCATGTTGTTTTAATTGCTGAGACTTTATAATGGTTTTAAATTTTTTAATATTTTATAATGGATCTTGAGATGTAAATAAACAAATAAAACCACTCTGCACTAAAAAAAAAAAAAAAAAAGGAAGAAGGAACTCCTATTTTTTGCGACAACATGGATGGAACTGGAGAATATTAAGTTAAGTGAAATAAGCCAGTAGGTGAAAGATAAATACCATGTGATCTCACTTATAAGTAGAATCTGTTCAACAAAATAAACGAACAACAAAATAAATCACAGGTATGGAAACTTGGAGCAGACTGAAAGTGACCTTAGGGGATGGGGAAAGAGGATAATGGTCGAAAGAAGGGGAAGGAACTAGACAAGGAACATGTATGAATGACTCATGGACATGGACAACAGAGTGGGAACTGACTGTAGGAACAGGGGATGGAGTGGGATAGGTGGAGGAGAGCAAAGGGGGGAAAAGTGAGACAATTGCAATAGAATAGATGTGATTTAAAAAAGAAGAAAGGATTTGGTAACTGTAAATTAGAGTATAGAGAGACTGAGGGATTCACTCTGGAACAAAAACCTGGAGGACTCACTGTGGAGGAAGAGGATGCTCCACTGTGCCTAAAATTAATCCTACAGAGCTGTGTTGTCCAGTCTGGGAGCCACTGTCAGCGCATGGCTGGGAGTGATTGAAATGAGGACTGTTCAAATTGTGATGTGTTATAAAGTGTAAATATGCCCTAGATTTTAAAGATCTAGCCTGAGAAAAAGAATGTAAACTACTCAGTAATTTCTTTAAAAATACTGATTACATGATGTCAATATTTTGGGTATATGGGGTGAAAGAAAATATTAAAATTACTTTTCCTATTTCTTTTCATTTTATTTAATGGGTCTACTAGAAAATTTAAAATTATGCCTAAGGCTTGCTGCTTTGGAATGAATGAATTTTTACTTGCATAAATCTATGCAGAAAGGAATACTTTAATATATATTCCTAAATGTTGCAAATTAACTGATTCAATCTTGTAGAACTCTTAAGTTCTTTAAGATAAACTCAAAGTTCTTTGTGGTAGATAAAATAGCTTCAGAAGTTTGAGTTGGGAGAGGGTTAGCCAGTCCTCTACAACCTTGCTGATGTTTCAGATCATATTCACATAGGCATATATTTCTTAAGTAATTTATTTTGCTCCTGGCCCCAAAAAGTTCATACAGCCTGTTTTCTAGGCTCCATGAAGTCCTGATTCTCTGGTGTTTTAGGTGCTAAGGCAACACTTTGCGTGAAAAGTTCATTCAAGGCCGGTGATCCAAGAGTCAGAATCCTGGTATCCTTATTGTCAGTATCAGACAGTCTTATATCTTCCTTCTCCAGTGGTCTTTTACAGGAACAATTAAGGAATCAAGTGTCTTTTCTAAGAGAGCAGGTCAGAGGGCTTCCCAGAACCTAATCCTAATAATGCAATGGTGGGAGTTACTCTAAGTATCTTAACCAGTCCACATCCCTGATTCTCTTAACTGTTCATGCCATGGTGGAGAGTGTATTAAGTATTTTAGCCAAACCATGTATCTACCTTTATTGAGATTTCATTGCTAACATCTGTCATGCTTTTTAACAAGTTATTAATAAGTCAATAAAAATTCACTTAGCAAGGCCTCAGGTATTGGCAGGCATGCATGGGAGAGGTGTCTCTAGAGAGTGGTAATCGTGAGGAACCAAATAATGTTCACCTATAATATTGAACTGAACCACTGAAGTATTTAAGTCAATTTTAGTCATCACAGCACTATCTTACTAAGAGCACAGCTCTTCAACCTATTTGGTTTATCCAAACAAGAGCAGTGAGAGAAAAATTGGTGTATTAATCAAAAAGTTTGGTGAGAATTTTCAACCTTCTGTCATTTCCAACTTTAAAGGAAAAAAAAAATGCTGTTTCCCACAGCAATCATTCTTAAAAAGGCATTAGAGATACATAGTCTTAAGGTGAGACAATAGTCTTTGGGAGAAAATTATTAACTTGAAGGTTTCAATGTTAAGGGAAAACTATTTCTTAGTCTTAGAAACTTAGTGGTGATGACATATAGAACAAATATAGCTGTAACTTAGATTTTAAGATTATCGATAAGTAAATATACCTTAACTTTGTCCCTGATCTTTCTATATCCTGGTTTCTAAACCCTGGCATTATTGATATTTTGGACTGTGAGGCTGCCCTGTGTATTGTAGCATATTTAGCAGCACCTTTGGCCTCTACCCACTAGATGCCAGGAGTAACACCCCCCACCCGAGTGATGGCAATAAAACGCCTTCAGGCATTGCCCAATGTCCCATTGGTGGCAAAAATCACTCTCCATTGGGAACTACTATTGTTGACCAGGTCCAGTGGGCTAACCCTATGCCTTTCTAGAAATGCAGAATCTTTGACCCATCCCAGATCCACTGAACAACAATCTGCTTTTTAATAAGACTCCAGGTGGTCTGTGGATACATACACCTGGCCAATTTTACACCCATTTTGGATGCCTCCACTGTGCCCCCGCAGATTTGGATATGTGACTCTCTCATTACAGGAAGCTGATGAAGTCTTATTGCATAATCTGCACCTTCAGATTGAAGCCCAGTTTCTGCAGGATGATATCTGTGCAGCAAAGGACAGGTACAAAAAGGTAACCATGACCCTTCTGAAGCTCTTCCTACAGAAAAAAAAGCCCAGTTTGGTTTTGTCTAGGCAGTTCAGGGCACTTGTGGCTGAAAAGTGAGACTGCTAGAGTGGGTTACTTTTGTGTGCATTGCTCCTGAATTAAGTGGGTGATGGGTTGGTTGCTAGACAGCTCTTACTGAGCCAGCCATGTGTAGAGGAGGAAGCAATAGTGTGTTTGTGTTGAGTGTGGGGTTGGAAACTAATATCTGTATAGTATACTCCAGTTCACAGAGTGATTTTTTATAGATCTGTATTGATTAAGCTACATCCTGTCAATTTTTTCAGCTGAGAAAATGCAGAAAATACAATATACAGGGTCTGGCACAAATAATGCCCTCTTTTTAATACAAAATCATAAGCATATAATTCCGTAACATAACAATGTCACACTCAAGAACACCATATGACATTTTTAGTGAAATATTTGAATTAAAACCCTAAATTATTACACCCAAATTATTACCCTACCAACCACACTCAAGCAGGCATTACTTCTGCCAGACCCTATATATATATTTTAACTATTCCTCTAAGCCAGATAATTGAGGGAATATGTGACATTCAGGAGCCTCCTCTCATGCAATGCTCTTCTCTGCCAGCTTCTTAGAGGCCTGATTTTGGTGTGGGGTTGGGGGGGTGGTCTTTGATGTACTGGAAAAATCAAGTTCTGGGGCTGTGTGAACATGGGCAAGTAGCTTAACCTCTCTGAGCTTTTTTATCTTCAAAATGAAAACAATGGACTCTTCTTCATGCATGGCTGTGTGGTTATCGCAATGTAGCTGACCTGTGGCCACAACGCTTTGAGCTGACCTGTCTAGTGGACTCGGTCCTCCCTCTAACTACCAGTATCTGCAGCTCTGCCACGGGACTTTCTACAGGCAGCAAGGGCTGCTCTGTCTCATGGGAAGTGTTGGGAAATTGATGCCCCTGGGAGCAGCCTTACTCAGTGATGAATGTGAGTTGTTGGATACCTCCTTCAGCTCCCTCTTACCTACTGTTTTCCTCTGGCTCCCAGAGATCCACACTGGGCCTGACCTGCAGGTGTCCACAGCAGTAACTTACCTGATAGCACACCACTTCTTGTCTGCCTTCTCTTCCCTGTCTCACCTCCTCACCCTACTACTCGTGTTTACTGGCATCTTTGCCCAAGTAAATTGTTTGCACTCAGAATGTTTCCTTAGGGTCTGCACTTAGCTCAAGCTACTGTAACCAAGTACCATAGCTTGGTTGGCTTATAAGCAACAGAAATTTATTTTCCACAGTTCTGGAGGCTGGAACACCAAGATCAGGGGTCTAGCATGGTCAGGTTCTGGTGAGGGCTCACATGGCCTTTCCTAGGAGCGTGTGCTTTGAGAGAGAGAGAGCAAGCTCTCCAGTGCCTTTTATAAGGGCACTAATTCCATCATGGGGCCCCACCCTCATGACCACTGCTAAATCTAATTATTTACCAAAGATCCAACCTCCAAATGCCATCTTACTGGGGGTTAGGATTTCAGTGTGTGAATTTGGGAGGGACACAACATTGAATGTATAATAGTGTACTTCTGGGGAAACCCAAACTAAGGCTATGTGACAATTTAGGTGAAACACCTGGTATAACTTGGACCTTGGTCAGTGCTCAGCAAGCCTTAGATTCTCTTCCTGTCTCAGTGTGTACCTGCTTCAGCACGTAGGCAGTCCTTTTGCTTTGCACTGAAGGGATGTTCCCTTGCCTTTGGCTTCTTCCAATTTTCCTTCAGTCTGGTTCCTCCTCCTCTTCTGCCTTCCTGACTCTGCTGTACTTTCTGGAATCCAGGAGCAGTGCCTGAGGGAAGGTTTTAGCAGCTCAAAACATTCTTCAGGGTCATTAATGATAACAACAAGAATGATAATAATAATAATAATAGTGAGCACTCATGCTGTGATGCTTTCATGAATTATCTCATTGGATCCCAACAGCAGCCCATGAGATAGTGTCTTAGGTCAAGTTCTCCCCATCAGCAGAGCCTAAGGAGGGTGAGTGTGTGTGTGTGTGTGTGTGTGTGTGTGTGTGTGTGTGTGTGTGTGTGTGTGATTGGTGCTTGGGTGGAGAGCACCCAGGGGGAGGGGAAGGAGGAAGCAGAGTAGGACAGCACAGGGGTAGGAGTTGAGCAGGGGCCTGGGCTTAGCTGGAGCCTCAGCATGATTCCACCACACGGTTGGGGGCTCTGGATCATGAGTCACATCACAAGGTTGTTCCCACCTTGAGGCAAGAGGGTTGGTCATTCGTACTCCTGTGCCATCTAGTCACTGGCCTGGGTTGAGATGGGACCCAGTTGGAAGCCTGGACAAGATAATCATTGTCTGGCCCAGGGCAGGTCTCTGGAGGGGGCACAGCTGTGAGACATTATTAGTTCTCAGCATACAGTTGGGCACAGGTGCTCTTTAGACTGTTATCCCACTTTTATAGAAGAGCCTGAGTTTAGGCTCTTATAAGTAGCTGACCTGACTGACCAAATTCTGTCCTTTGAAACACTGCCCTGTTCTGGTGGAAGAAAGCGTTCTTTGTACCCTCAGGGGCTCCTTTGTTCTGCATCTCTGCTTTTTTCCCATACCCCTGCCTGTAGGGCTCTATGAAGACAGCAATAAAGCATCCACTTAACAGAAGAGAAATGGTGAAGTAAATAAACCAAGCCTTAGTTTATTCATCTGCCTTGTTGATCCTGTGAAGATTAAAGATGTAAAGTGCCCTTTGCACAGATCACAGCCTGTTCTATTTGTGACAGTGGGACATGTGAAAGCATTTGTCCCTGAGGTCACCTAGTCCTGAAGGGAGAAACTTGGACAGCTGAGGTTTTAGTAAGAATGGTTTCTTTCCTCCAACAGAATCTTCTGGAAATTCAGACCTATGTCAGTATTCTGCAGCAGATCATCCAGACTACCCCTCAAGCATCTGCCATTAAAGGTGGAATGAGAGAGGTAAGAATTGGAATCCAGGCTACAGGGGAAGCATATCTGCAGATTTTTCTTAAAGCACTGTGGGCCTAGTTCACAGACAGGGAGAGGCAGCAGGACAGACAGCACGGAGCCGTGGTGGGTTAACTCCTCCCCACCCTGATTTTGCATTCACATTGGAAGTTTACTCTTGGTCTTCTGTTCACACTGTGAACACTGCATTTTAGACATCTGAGGACATAAACTGTGACCTTGACCATTTTCTTAGGAGTTTTCTCTTGAGAATCCCAGACTGTTCTTCCTTGTACAGTTGATAGAAATCACCAGACTATTCCCCAATGTGGTGGAGCCTTGCTGCATCCCCACCAGCAATGTTTGGGAGTTTGCATTGCTGTGGTCATTCGCAGTGCTGGGTGTGTCGGGTATTTGTTTGTTTTTGCTTGTTGCTCTTCTAATAGATATGTTGTGCATCTTACTGTGGTTTTAACTGCCTTGCCCAGTGACTAATGATGTTGAACGTTATTTTCATGTCCTTATTTGCCATCTCTCTATCTTCTTTGTTGGAGTATCTGCTCAAGTCTTTTGCCCATTTTTAAATTGGGTTGTTTGCTTTTTTATCCCTTTTATGAGTTTGCCCATAAAATTTGAATACAGAAAGACTTAGAAAATTAGTGAGTATATTTTTAAGGTCTAGCTCTGCTAATGATTATGCAAGTTTAGAACTTAAAAACTATCGGGAAAGGATAGAGGTTATTGAAGCTGACTTTTTAAAAATGGGGATTTGGATATAAAACAGTATTCCCAGCATAATGTTCCACATTCCTTCTCCACTTAGTTCTCTAGCTGCTCAATGGGATGCTGATGTATTTTTTTCTTAATGTGTTTTAGGGATTTTGGATACATAATGTTATATATTTAAACATACACTGAAAAGGATGCAGATTAAAACACAATGTCATTGTGTCCCCTTTCTGGAGGTTGGGGTATTCTGGTACAGGGCTTTGTGGACAGGCCAAGAGATAAGATTCTGGTTTTTTTTTGGTAAGGATTGCTTAGATAATGTTTCTTAACCCTGCTGACATCTGGAATTGCCTAGAAATCTGGCCAGACCACACCCCACCTGTAGAACTAGTGGGTTAGTGTAGCTGATTGCTTGAGTTTTAACTTAATTTTTTTACATCAAAGCCGAAGAAATCCCCAAATTTGCTTTTGAAAACACTCTGCCAAGTTTCTTCTAAGAGACAGGAAAGCTACTTTTCTGGGGTTACTTCACTGAAATATTTTTGTCCACTAATGATCATTTCAGGTTCCTACTCTTCTCAGCTGATGTAACCAAGGCTGCTACAAAGACCTGAAGTAGTTTTCCTAAAGTCCTAATTTTCTTTGTCAGTGATTTCTTTCCAGATACCTCATTTTTATTTTGCAAACACTTTCTTTTTCCTTGTTATTCAAAGGTATTTTACACCAGAGCACACTTTAAAATCATATGCTCTTTTCTCTGTAACAAAATTCTTCTAAATTGTGAGATTATAGAGACTGTTTGGACTTATTTTGAGAGCATCAATAATCATTAGTGTTTATTAGCATCGTCCAGGAACTTATTAGAATTGCATCATTTGTAGAAGAATCTGCATTTTAGCAAGATCTTTAGGGATCCATGTGCATGCTAAAGGTAGAGAAACAGGGATTTAGAAAGCATTACATTTTGTATTAATCATAGCTTAAAACCTCTACATACAGCTAAATGGCCACTTTCAGGTTTGTTTCATTGACTTTTGTTAGAGTCCTAGAAAATGTCTGTCACTTTAGCTCAAATGAAGATATAATTAGTGGTGCTAATTATAGGAACACAGGTCAACTTGTTAATGTGTCAGTAAGTAAAATGTCACTATCCTCTAACCCAGAGGCCACTGGGTACACACCTGTGGTCACATGAAGCTGAGCTCATTTTCCACTGCAGAGAGGAAGGGTGTACACTGTGGAGACTCAAGGAGCATCCTGTGTGATCTCTGGGGAGGGGTCAGGTAAGCAGGGCCCTGCTCTGGGTTGGGTACTCTCAGAGAGGGCTGGTCCTATGGTTGTCTTGATAATTTCTATCAAAGAGGCAGAGGAATGGAGTGTGGGTAAAGCTATCCTTGATGATTAAGCAGCATCTCTTGCATCAGTAGGGAGAATGGATGGTTGGCCGTTCTTGTGGTTGCATAGAGGTCTTCTGCTCTGAGCTCAGACACAGTTACAAAGGGCCTATTTCTGTCTTGTTCCTCCATGGTCCCAGAGTGGCATCTTTAGATATTGGGGGTGGCATTGTTTATAAATTTATAGTAGGGAGCATCATAGCCTGGTGGTTAGTGTCAGCTACCAGCTGACAGCTGCAAGGCCTTCTTCCTTCCTATTCAGTAAGTGTCCAAGGGCCAATTACATGAGAGGCACCCTGTGAGCAACTGTGGAGAGGGATGTAAGATGAGTAGGAGCTGGGCAGTGAGGAAGGTGGGGCCAGAGAAGCAGGCAGGGTGCTGGAGCGGGGTGGTGTGATGTATTTGCACTGGGTCTGCCTCTATCTTGAGGCTGTAGGTTCAGAATTCACAGTGTGGGATATATCCTCCATCTGCTGGCACAGGGGGCACAAGGCCCTTTCTGTTCCCAGTCATCCTCTTGTCTGCATCTTTGAGGCATGGAGATGGGTACTGAGAAACACAAAGAGGACAGATACAAACAATCAGAGACTGAGAGCCACTGAGAGCCACTTGAGAGCATGCATTCCTTCATATATTGAGAAGCACAGAACTAAAGACACACAGTTGGGAAGGTCCTTCTGCAGTTTCATCTCAAGTCCTGCCTTCCCCATGGGGTCAGGCCGCAGGCCCAGACTCACTTTTTCCCTTTAAGCATGCCTGTCCTTGCTCTAGCTGTCTTCATGTCTATGCTGTTGCTCTAGCTACTTTGCAGGGTGTTGGAGAGTGGGGACTGCCTTGAATGTGTGGCCTTGCACATGGGTGCAATGTGAAAATGCTTGTTTCTGATTTTGCCTCGCTGTGAGGCCACACAGTCTGTGTGAGAAGGCACTGCTTTTGAGCAGTCAGGCTTTCATGAAGTGGTCTGGACATTTTCGAATAGACTATGGAGAGGCCTGTTGGAAACAGGTCCCTGCTCTGCAGAGTGTGGAGAGGTTGAGGAATCTCCTTCCAAGACATTCTGTGGAGCATTGATTGACAGTGCAGCTACCTCACCATGTCCCCAGCTTCCCTTGTGCCCCTTGATTTCTGCTTTGTGCAACAGTGACATTTTAGTAGTCAGTGGCTCAGGGCTCAGACTGAGTGTGCCTTCTGCACAGATACAGAGAATAGACCCCAGTGAGAAACTGCATTACAAGTTTTCCTTTTGACAGAAGGGAATGTGCCTTATCCAGAACCTCTTATCCAGTTCGTGGTACTACCAGCTCTAAAACACAGGTATTTCGACACCATCTCTGCACTTCTTACATTTACAGCATTAATGGCTCAGATGTTGGAGATGGAGTGAAAAGGTATTAACAGTGGCCACGGTGGGCCTGTCTCAGTCAGCTTGGGCTGCTGTAACAAATTCCACAGGCAGGGTCACTCAAGCAACAGACATACATTTCTTACAGTTCTGGAGGCTGCAAGTCTAAGATCATGGTGCTTGTAGATTTGGTTCCTGGTACGAACCCACTTTATGGCTTGCAGATGCTGCCTTTCTGTCATGTCCTCAGGTGGCCTTTCCTTCATGTAATATAGAGAAAGGGAGAGCTCTGGTATCTTTTCTTATAAGGACACTAACTAATCCCATCCTGGAGGCCCCACCTTCAGACCTTACCTAACCTAATTACCTCCCAAAGGTCCCACCTCCACATACCATCCCATTGGGGGTTAGGGCTTCAGCATATGAATTTGTAGGAGGGGCATAAACATGCATAATATCACAGGGCCCCACACCATCCTTTTTCCTTTCCTTTTTGGGTTTCTTCATTTGTTAAGTGCGTATGAGTACTTAGTCTGGCCTTCTTTGTGCAGGAGAAGCTCCTGATGGAACGAGAGGCGGCTGCCCTGCAGGGTCAGCTGGAGGAGGCCCGGGGGGTACTGTCTCTCCTGCAGGCACAGAGAACAGAGCTGCAGGCCCAGGTAGGCCCCACATCCCCTTGTCTACTGCTTCCTGTTGGACATTCAGCCACATGTGAATCAGGGTGAATACAATACGTTATATTCAGCATCAGGTACATGCACAGAAGTACACACGTATTCAATTCAGTGATTCTCACAAACTTAACACACCTGTGTGCTCAGTGCTCAGAGCCGGAAACACTCTGAGAAGGGTGACCAGATGTCCTGCTTTGCCCTGGACTGAGGGATTTCTAAGGATGCAGACTGGAAAAGTCCTGGGCAAACAGAGACAGCAATCACACTGATTCCTGGCTGTTCAGAGGGTCCCCTTGTGGCCCCTCATCTACCAAGGGTAAGACCATCTGCATAATCCATTGGCTTTTTGCCTAGTTTAAACTTAAACTTGTTTTTAAAAATAAGAAGAAATAGACACATTTTGGGATTTTTATCCTACACTTCCTCAAATTATGCTTCCTATTTCTCTTCTCATGACCAAACATTTCTCCTCTGGATTTTGATTACAAACCTGGGAAAGAGTATTTGTGTCAGTATTTGCTCTGTTCAGAATTTGTTAGTAGAAAGTTCAGAATCTCTCCCCCTCCCTTTTATTTGGGCAAATCTTATTTTGAAAACTGAACTCAACAGAAAAACTCAATCCTGTTTTCATAACATTTTGGTGACTTGGTAGTGTTTGTCTTCTCTGAGGTCCTGAAAGGATAGAGAGAAGGGGTGTGTGTGTGTGTGTTGTGTGTATTATATATATAAGGTATGTACATATAATATATATCTGTATATGTCTGTGTGTAAGTATGTATGTATGTGTATGTATGTGTACATATGCACAATCGTGAGAGAATTCAGAAGAATCAAGTGGAATTAAAAAAAGAAATTGACAACACTAGACCAAGATAGTAAAGAAATAACAAAGTGCATGGCAAGTGAAAAGGTAGGTTTTGGAAGGAGGAAAAGATGGCAAAGGAGTGAATGGGAATCATGCTGACCTCCTCCTTCCAAGACCAAACTGGAATTGCAACTAAATAGTGGAGTAATCACCTGGAAAACAATGGAAATATAGTGGGAGAGGAGCCTTGGAGCCGCGGACAGACAGCGGATTCAACTCTCACACATCCCAAGGGGTGAGAAGTGTGGTGGAGGCTTGAGAGGGTGGGCTGGGTGCCCACGGGCACTAGCACCAGAGGGACATTGAAATGGCTAGTTAGATCTCCCCGAGAAGAACGGGGTCTGAATCATAAACAGGCACCTCTAAACTACAGCAGCTAAAACCAGGAAAATACAGACAAAATGCAACCCTGAAAAGCTTAGGGGCACTCTCTGCCAGAGACAGGTGGCTGGGGATGCAAAGAGACATTTAAAGGGCCAATGCAAAAGTTGCAGTGGCAGCCACCCTCCTTGATCTCTGGGTAGAGGCGGCAGCAGGGTGGGCTGATGCCTGGGAAAGGACCGGTGAGGAAAACTTTGTGAAGAGAACTGAGATGGCGGTCGGTGGAGCCCCGGTGATAACGCACCTCCCACTCTGCAGCTACCATCTTGCTCAGGCATAAGGAATCAATTAACCTGCCTTTTGTGCACTCCGCACACAGCTTGTACGCGTGTGAGCTGCGGGGCTGAGTGCAGACTGGCTGGGAGAGCCCTGAAGACTGGAGAGGGAGGCATTGGGGAAAGAATGGGAGGAGGAACTGGGGAGTCCCAACTCCCTCCCCATTCTGTAGTCTCCATTCTGGGCAGGCAAGGCGTGTCCCCAAAGAGGCAGAAGAGGAACGCGCATGAACCAGACTGCCTGTGATTGAAACGCAGTCCACACAGGTGGTGGATCCTTGAGTGAAGGGGTCACAGAACTGCCTAGAGACCCCTGAGGAGAGACTGGAAACGGAGGCGTTGGGGAAAGAAAGGGAGGAGGAACCGGGGAGTTCCGACTCCTTCTCCTTTCCCTACTCCATTGTGCGGGAAAAGGACACACACCCAAAAAGCCAAAAGCCGAAAAGCACACAATAGAGAGCCCAAAACCACCCAGTGCAGGCACTCATACTTGCACCGAGTGGCCGGCGAGGGTTGGCGAGTGTGTGTGTGGACCTGTGCGGGCTGGCAAGGTCTCCCACAGGTTGGCACCGAAGGGGCCTGCTAGGAAATGCACAGATTGTCGAGCGCAGGTATAAATAGACCACGCAGGCCATGAGTGCAGAGCAGGCCGCAGAAATAGTGGATCCCAGGCTGAAGGGGTCATAGAGCTGCCCAGAGTCCCTGGAGGAGAGACTGGAGACAGGATTAACCGGAGAGTCCTGGAGCTGACTTCCTCCCATTTCCGTAGTCTCCATTTGGCGAGGGCAAGCAATGCATCCAAAGAGCCAAAAGTGGAGAAAGCACACAATAGAAGACCCTAAACAGACCAGTGCCAGGGTGCCCGCTGGCCTGGGGGGCCAGACGAGTACGTGAGGTCACGAGGAACCTTTTGGGCTGGGGCAAGCACGCGGGAGCCTTGGGGGGCGGGGGATCCTCCTGGACAGGGGAGCGCGATCACGGAGCCGGCAGGAGAGTGCAGAGCGATCCACAGAAATACTGGATCCCTGGCTGCAGGGGTCACACAGCTGCCCAAAGCAGGAGTCAGACACAGACAGTAGACTCCTGGAAGGCTCAAATAAATGACCCAAGGTCATATAGGGTCAACAACTGACATCATCAGAGGCAGGCCCAGAAAGAAAAAGAAATAAACAAACAAACAAACAAACAAACCCACCTACTACCATAGAAGTTTAATCCACAAAGTCAGGAAATCTATACGGCCCAATTGAAGCAGAAGCAAAAATAAATAAATAAGTAAATTACTTAACAGACTCTCACAAAAATGGAAAGAAAAAGAAGTTCTCCCCAAATGAGTGGAAAAAGGGACTCTCCACGGAGAGAGACAATTGAAATAGAGGCAAGGGAACTATCAGATATTGAATTCAAAACAGTGGTTCTAAGGAAGCTCAATCAGATCAGCCAGCTCAAAGAGAACTATGAGAAACTGCAGAGAAACTATCAGGATCTTACAACAAACTATATCAACCTGGAAAAGGACATAGAAACTATCAATAAGGGACAAGGGGAAATGAAGAATACCATTTCTGAATTGAAGAACACAGTAGAAGGAATCCAAAGCAGGCTGGATGAAGCCAAAGATCGAATCAGTGAGATGGAGGATAAGGTAGAAAAATCTTCCAGAAAGAACAAGAAATGGAAAAAAGACTCAAAAAGAATGAAGAGGCAATTGAGGGAAATGCAGGACAACCTGAAACACAATAATATCCATATAATAGGGATACCAGAAGGAGAAGAAGAGGAGCAAGGGATAGAGAACCTCCTCGAAAAAGTAATGATGGAAAATTTCCTTAATTTGAGGAGAGAAAGGGTCTCATGGATCCAGGAAGCACAGAGGACCCCACTCAAGAGGGACTCAAGGAGGTCCACTCCGAGACACATCATCATTAAAATGGCAACTATCAAAAACAAAGAGAGAATCCTCAAGGCAGCAAGGGAGAAGGAGAAAGTAACATACAAGGGGGCCCGATATGGCTAGCAGCTGACTTCTCAACAGAAACACTACAAGCCAGAAGGCAATGGCAACAAATATTCCAAGTCATGAAAGGCAAGGGCCTACGACCAAGGCTGCTCTAACCAGCAAGGCTCTCAATTAAAATAGAAGGGGAAATACGGAGTTTCCCAGACAAGAGAAGGCTAAAAGAATACGTCTATACCAAACCAGCACTCCAAGATATGCTAAGGGGACTGGTTTAAGAAGATGAAGGAAAAGAATGAGAAAGAGAAAAACACAGGTACAAAGAGAAAAACTGAATAAGTTTCTATCAGTAAAAACTCTCAATGTGAATGGACTAAATGCCCCAATCAAAAGACACAGGGTAGCTGAATGGATAAGAAAACATGACCCACACATATGCTGCCTACAAGAGACCCACCTCAGAGCAAAAGACCTACACAGATTGAAGTAAAGGGATGGAAAAAAAATATTCCAAGAAAATGGGCCAGAGAAAAAGGCTGGGGTTGCCATACTTGTATCAGACAATGTAGATTTCAAAACGAAGGCCATAAAAAGTGACCCAGAGGGGCACTTTATAATACTTAAAGGAAGAATCTATCAAGAAGACATCAACATTGTAAACTTCTGTGCTCCCAATATAGGAGCCCCCAAGTATATAAGGAAATTGCTGGATGACTTCAAAAAAGATATAGACAGCCACACACTGATAGTAGGGGATTTCAACGCCCCACTGTCAAAAATGGACAGATCTTCCAAACAAAACATCAATAAGGATATTGTGGCGCTGAATGACGCACTGAATCAAAGAGACTTAACTGACATATATAGAACCTTACATCCCAAAGAAGAAAAATACACATTCTTTTCAAATGCTCATGGCAGTTTTTCAAAGATACACCACATGATAGGATAAGACACAAAGCAAGCCTCAGCAAATTCAGGAAAATTGAAATAATACCAAACTTTTTCTTGGACCACAAGGGCTTGGAACTGGAAATCAACCTCCAAGAGAAACTTCAAAAACTTGAAAACTCATGGAGACTGAGCAGTAGACTATTAAACAATGAATGGGTCAATAATGAGATAAGAGAAGAAATCAAAACATTTCTGGAAACAAATGAAAATGAACAGACAACAGTCCAAAACCTATGGGACACAGCAGAGGCAGTCCTGAGAGGGAAGTTCATAGCAATACAGGCTTACCTAAAAAAGATAGAAACATTTCAAATAAAAGACCTAACACTACAACATCAGGAATTGGACAAACAACAACAAATAAATCCCAGAGCAAGTAGAAGGAAGGAAATAGTCAAGATTAGAGCAGAACTGAATGACATAGAGACAAAGAGAACAATTCAAAGGATCGACCAATCCAGAAGCTGGTTCTTTGAAAAAACAAATAAAATTGACAAGCCTTTAAGCAGACTCATCAAGAAAAAAAGGGAGAGGACCCAAATTAATAATATCA